ACTGCATACAGACCCATTGTCGAGGTTAGCGATTTGATTTGCCGCATCATGACATGCTTGATGCTTATGACTTCTGGCGGATATACGACGAGTGAGCGCTTACTCAGCTCGGATGGCAACGTACTTTGATACGCATTCAGAACGTCTCTCTTTGCCAGCTGACAACTATCAATGCGCTCACAGCATTGCCGCATACGCCCACCGAAGGGAAGTCTAAAATTGGCACAAACGAGTGCGTGGTCAGAGTCCACGCTCGTGCTCCTAATCGAACGGCGGTTTTGAACACGGCTTCTCCAGTGGTAACTGATGGCGATGTGATCGATTTGCTTCCATGACTGAATTGAGGTGGGGGGGGGTCATGTCACCCTGCTGCTGCTAGTGTGTCGTAAATTAGTGCTCGCGGGAAATAGACGAGCATCTTCACATTGGTGCAGCAACCGTTCATGGTTATCAATATGGGAGTCTACACCGTGTTGGCTGCCGAAATGCCGCTCATCAGTGGACAGGTTTCTAACTTGGGCATTCAAATCACCAGCCAGCACCGCAGTACTCATACTTTTCCCGTGGTGAAGGAGCTCGTTAACTTAGTGATAGGATTCATCATTCATCGAGTCTGCGTTGTAATTTATGGAGGCGCAGGCCACAATGACAAACCGGCACCGTCTGTTCCCGTGCAACTTTGAAGCTTTGAACTAGCCATCCATTCTGATATCGCACATCCGGCTGTTTATTGGGATCCAGTCAATCAGGGCAGCTTCAGCCCGGAGACTCAGAACAATGCCCACACCGCCTGACCAGTATTTGAGGCTGTGTCATCTCCGGACAAACGTAATGTAAAAGTGCAACCAGTGTCAAAAGAGGGAGATCGCAAGGTGAACACAGTTCTCGAGTCTTTCAGGCGGTATTCCGATAAACAGCAGATACCAATCAATCGGATCTCTAGTGTATGGATAAATGTTTCCTGTTAGTCAATCTGTAACAAAGTGCGCGAGGTTCAAGGGCTCCAAAACGAATCAGATTAACTGGCATTGTCCGTCTGATTGAACATGGACTTGGCGGCTGGACTAGAGCGACGCAGTGCGATTGCGTGTGAGTCGCAACTTTACGACAAGCGACCAGTGAAGCAAGATGGAGTTGGGCCAAAAATTGGGGGGGGGGGGTTGGAAACAGAAGGGATAAAAGTGAACTTGGAACGGGACGGTGAGGATGAGAATGTGCAAGCGTGGGAAGAAGAAGACCGGAAGGCTTGAGCAACTGCATCCTTACCCATATCCACCTTGCTCCATGCAGCAGTTAGGGCACCGTTGACTATCCTGTGCGACGGCCAGAGCATCAAGAGTCGTTAGAAGGAAGATAAATTCACTCTATAGCGTGAGCAGGATGCTGTCGTGTTTCCCGGGCCTAGACACGAACTGGCAACGACTCGCTTCCATATAGCAACACCGTCCAGACGGTGGCATTGCCCCTTTACCAAGTGAAATACATTCCGACGAGATAACAATGTTTTAGATTGACCAATTCCGACTGAGCTTTGGCGATACTGAGACAAACTTTTACAATTGCACCACCAGCATGCACGCATTTGCTCAAATAGACAGAGCTATCGATGTGTTCAAGCTGTGTTCCCTCGAGAATGAACACGGGGACAAGCGAGTCCTGATCCTGGACTTCCTCATTCGTGAAACTGAATAGGAACGGGGACATCGAACAGCCCTGTCGTACAACGTTATTGGCAGCGAAAGATGAAGAAACCTTGCCATAGACCCTCATCTGCCAAAAACGTAGAGTGTGCGCAGGATAGTTTTCCGGGACTCCACTCCTTAGCAAGCAATACCGTAGCGCAACTTGGTGAATGGAGTCGAATGCAACAGGGATGTCTAGGAACGTAACGGCGGTTGGCCTCTGGTAGATGTGGCGGGATTCGAGGATTTGACGTAGTGTGACGATTTGGTCCGTACCTACAGCCAGGGTGGAAACTCGCATTTTTTGTGTTAAGAGGAACGTCTTCTAAGGAATTGATCAGCGGACCCTACACGGACCAGATTCCAACCTTTCTCTAGTAATCAAGTGAGACGATCGCATTGTTTTATCAAAAGTATGTTGTCGGACAACCTAGTACTATTATTTATGCGTAAATAATTGACCAGTGAACAAAGAACATTCAAGTAGGTCACCAAGAACTCATGAGTATCGGTAGTGTACGCCATGTAATTGTCTTTTGCCTGGCGGCCCTTAAACTGGTACCTGCAACTTACCTTGATCGGCCAGTCAGAACGGGCAGGTTATTGAAAAGCCAATTAAAGCGGCCCGGTGCGATCTTAGTGACCTTAACACTTTGCTGCACTTTAATTCACGAATCGGGATAGGCTAAGGAGCTGAATGGATATCAGTAGCCTGGAGGCAACTGAAATGAGACTAATTCTCTAGCGTTTGGCGCATGCAATGCGAGCACCCTTCTTAAAAATCGGGATAACAACTGACTCACCTCAGGAAAAGGCACCTTTTGCATTTTTTCTACATACCGGTAGTTCGAGTTGACTATTCGGTTGTTCATTTATTCAAAAGAGCTTGACGATTTGGTTACATACATTTCTCCACCGTACGAAGTAGCATCGTCAGTGCCGTGATATGCAGGGTAGTATCTTCCTGATTGATTCCTCAGTCCGTGGTTCACGTGTAGGTGACCTTTGAAAGTGACAGCTTCATTTTGTGCTTCCTGATCTTTACCCATTTCCCCCTCGGCTGAAGTCGTCACTCGAGTTGTTTTAGTTTAATTGGCGTCCTGGAATTCTTTCGATTTCTTTCTGTTTGAGTGGTTGATATACCATGCTCCTTTTTCGGTGGCCCTCCAAAATTCATGCAGATGTTCGCACAGACAAGAACATGATTTGAATCAAGTAATGTGGAGCAGATTTATCTACAATCCCACATACTATCCCACCATCTGAAACTGATTACGATGTGAGCACTCTGCGACCATGATTGAGTCGGAGAAAGGGGGCGCCAAGTAGTAGAATGTCCTCTCGAATGTCTGAAGTCTGCGTTTGAGAAGAATAAACGATTGTCTTCACGCAGTGTGAGTAGTTTCTCGTCAATATCTGCGCGGCTCTCATCGAGCGCATGATGGCCACGGAGTTAACTTTCACATAATATTAGACGACCGCCTGGTTCGTTGAAATCCCTAGCAAGGACAGTAATGCCCGATTTGCAAGCTATGCTCAAGAGCTGGATAAATTCCCGATAAAGTCGTCCTGTACCGAGTCGAAACTGCAGTCAGTGGCATCATACGCGGAAGTTACAAAGAAGTTGCGTCTTCCCTCTTGACGTCTGTTGATCTTGCATGAGTCGCGAAGCCGGACTGCTGACGGCTATTTATCGGAAGCAATTCTAATAGTACAGTCTCGGCCTCTCTACTTAGTGATACACCAACGCCAGCCATGCCTGGTGCTGCTGCTTTTGTGTCACCAAGTAGAAGTAGGAGAACTATGGCTTTGTGGTCGGTGGGGATGCCAACCCAGCCACAGTACTGGGATCTTGCAGTCGGATTTCGGAAAGATAGCGTTCGCCGATAGTGAGGGATTCCCAGGTTCGTACGAGACGAGCCTGCTGTTTGATCAGCATGAGTGTACGTACATTAAAGCATGTCAGATGGAAGGAGGACTGTGGCCGAAGCAGGACTACTAGTCTGTTTCCGGGGGCGTCGACGAAACCATCAGAAGTAGGATTACGGAAACATGAATTGGCTAGTAACGGACAACACTGACTGGTAACTAATGAACAAGTAGCGTGTGAAGGAGTGTAAGTAGCGAGAGCAAAAATGATCAAACGTTTTATATCAGATGAAGAACCCATAGTTTTGTCAGTGGGCATAATATTACCCGGTTGCCGAAGCCGAAGTAGCGATTTGTTTTTGGACACTACCCCGAGCCTTTGGCTAAATAGCCTACTCGCAAGGCAACAGGGCGAATTCGAAGTATTGCGCTTATTGGGAAGCAGTGACTGATTGCTCATTTCATATGCCTTTTGTTTGGTGAGTCATCAAACAAGGACCGAATCTTCCCCATGATGTCAACACACACTTGCTGAATAACAATGCTCCTCCTAGGGGAAACAAGGAGCAGTAACTTTACTTAGTGGCGAGTCCTATCCACCACCTCATCTCGTCAAACAGACGTTTGTGGATTGTCGTAAGGGGAACGCTTGTCACGCTGAGACTCACCACTATTTGGTACACTGCCGCTGAACCATTCACTGTTACGGGATAGTTCCGAACTACCCAGCAGGCACTACGATGAGATAGTTTGGCAAACCAGCTACGTGTGGCACTGGTGAAGAACAACCTACTCCAAGGCAAAGGTAAACTGAATTGATCTGAACAGCAGCACACACGCCTACGAGCTCCGGCAGACACTATAGTATGCAATGGCGAGTAGACATTTGTTTGGACAGAGAGTGAATCAAATATCGCCTATTGTAACTGAGCGGAGTTACACGAACGCAGCGGCATTTTTTGACACATTTCTACGGGGCTCCAGTCAGTACAGGTGTTGGTCGGATCTATCACTCCGTTGAACAATACGTATGAAACAATCTACACAGACTATCCACGTTAGAATTTTCACTTCGATTTTATGGTTCATGAGCAAAGGTGCCCAATCCTTATTTTGACTCGGAGGACTATTCGACACATTCGTTAAACAAACCTGTTCTGTCTGTCATCCAATTCCAAGCGCCTTTATGTGTTTCGCTTGTTTCCATCACTTGACTAAATCTCTTCAGCACCCACCTGAAATCCTCTTTTATACTTGATGTCAGGGAGATAGTAAACATTTTCCTACATTTTTTCTTCTCTAGCCTCATCCATTTCGAGGCCTACCTTGGCGATAGTTTCCGTCAAGGACTGTCGTGCATAACTGGTGTATTACCCCATCTCTGACTCTGTTTGAACTCTTACTATTGTTATTACTAATGTTTTGCGATTTTTTTTAATTTCCGACCAGCTTCGTCGGCGCCCGTGGAGGCAATCGGTGTTGCGCTTGATACCTGCTTCTTTGTTCTACAAAAATGTTCCGATTCCGACCGATATCAACTATTCAAAGGAACGAAAATGGTAGGTACTTTTTTCTCGCTCGGTTTATCATTATTGTTCATAGTTTATTTTTTGCTATGACTGGTTACTCATCCTCAGCAGGTTGGACAGTTGTTATATTTGGATAAAGCCCTAAGAAGACGAACACAGGCAGATGTGAACATTTCGTATTGTACATTGCTCGTAAGTAGCGGGTTTCATACAGCTGATCACGACTGCCTCTGTGAAACGTAGGAACCGCGCGTTAACATGTCTAAACACGATTGTAAACATTTTGGACGAATCAAACTGATGACAGGTAGCCAGTAAATGCCTTCCTATGGATGAAGCAGGTGGCTTACGTGAATTGGTGCTATGATCAACCGACAACTGGGTGATTTGATGCTGCAACCATTTTGGTACATGTTCCCTTATTCTGGAGTTCAAAGATCTATTAGTAGGGCCGATGTAGCGTACATCACAACTACAGGTTAATTGGTAAATACAATGTGAGTTGGTGCCAATAGGTTGTCTTTCCGTCATTGGGGTAACAGGTATTCGATTAGTCCGGTTGATAAGAACAGTTTCAGCAGCATAATAGGTCCTCTGGACTGCGGAAATTATGCGCTTCGTTGTCCTCATATTGGCAAAATCACCCTTAAATGGTAGCTCGACGTGACCTTCTTTTTAGACACTGTCGAAACCTTCTGTCCCGGCACCCTCGCCTGACTATGTTTATCGATGAATCTTCTTAGATAGCCAAGTTTCAACAGCATATCCCTGAGCGAGTTTATCTCATCATCTAAACTGTCGGTAGTGCATATTTTTCTTACACTATTGAATAGTGTCTTGACTAAGGTCCGCTTGTACCTTATCGGAGTGAAGCTGGTAAAATGCAACTACTGCCCTGACCAAATTGGCTTTCGGTAAACCTCTCTTTTGACACATCTCTTTTGGCACATCAACACGTCCAGATATGGGAGGCAATTGCTTCTCTCTGTTTCGCTGGTTACTTTCAGATTCATATGCACGTTATTCAGGCAATCGGCTAGACGCGCGATGTGCTCTTCTGATGAGCTAAACACTAAAATATCATCAACATACCGCTTATAGTAGAAAAGAAGCGATATTTCTACACTTAACTTCGTTTCAATCATCGACATGAAAAAAATATGCTAGCAATGGGCCCAAAGGACTACCCATTGCCACCCCATCTATCTGGCGATAAGGAATGTTTTGGAATTTGAAACCGATGTTCTCAGTGCATAGTAGTAGACTGTCCTTCAATAATTCGACGGGCTTTGGAAGAGTTAAATCGGAGCATTCTGCCACTTCTCACTTCTCTTCTAGTGTTCATCTTTTTACGGCTTTATTCAAATTACTGCATGGATCTAATTGGTTCTAGTTGTTATCTTGTTGGTTGGTCCAGCGTCTTGAGTAAGAGTCCGTTCTTTCTCTCATACATTTGATTTGTATCTGGAATTATTATACATGTGGTCTGGATAACTTTTAACTTCAAAGTTGTCGGCTGCGGCCGTTTAACTTGTACTATCATCTGTTTTTGGTTCCGACGTTGAGCATTCACTTTTGCCAGCAAACATCGTGGGAGCACATGATCACTGTACGCTGCTACCAGTGGCTCTGTGAAAAAGTAGTTCTTCAGTTATCCTTGGTATTGTCGCAGTCGGCGGATCGACACCGCTTACAATTGACCACTGTTGGAGACATTTTCGGCACCAACTACATTGTCTCTTAACTCCCATTCGGGTCGCATCGCTTTCGGCTGCATTTTCTGCAACGCATCTGCCAACTGTTACGCAGGGCCATGGTTATGTCAGATTGTTGCATTGTTAGCAGTTTTTTCTTGAGCAACCAGTATTCTTCACGGTCACTATGGGACATACAGATGCATTTAGTCAACTGAACGCCAGTCTCATTCCAATGCACTAACCTCTACATGTGTCGTTCATGTCTACTATTTGCCATCAGTGATCTTGGACTTTATTATATTTAGCTTAAAATCACTGGAAAATGTTCGACTTTCGCAGTCCTTCACGACGCCCTAACGACCCCTTCAAATTAGCCGTTGCTTTTCTCGTTGAAAAATCTTTTTTACTTTAACTACTGCTGGGTGGTGGCTTAGCAACTGCATTTGCTGCGCTGGGCGATCGTACAATTCCCCCCTTGGTAGTTTTAAATCCGTAAACCCTCACAGTTCGGAACAGTCCTTCAACATTTCGTTCCATCAATCAACAATCGGAAGCCTTATTTTAGAGTGCGGCTGTAAATGCAAGCATTTGTATTGTTACAATACTTTTTCGCAAAATTAACAGTGCACCTTGCCTTCTTTACTTGCGGCAATACTATAGAAGGCACTGCGAAAAATCGGTCTGTTAGCAAGTTTTTTCTCTATGGGGAGCACTACCATGTCCATGAGTCTTATCTGGTTTGTTGCTGATCGAATGCAATTCTCTGGGGTTTTGAGAAAGAGCGCTCACAACTGGCAAGAAAGATACGCAGCAAGATCACGATATTCGGTGCGGATTCTTTAACGTGATATTTCTGTGTGAAGCTCTATCGTTCAAAGGGTCCTGAAGCTTTCACAAACTACTGCGATCTTTTTTGGCAAAGAATCGCTCTTTTCTGTATCTTCCTCAGCTTCGCTAGGCGGATAATTTTACTTATCTTCAAGTAGGTTGGACGGTGCAAGGAGAACGAATTTGTTTGCAAGATCATGAGTTTTGCGAAATTTACGACACACCCCACCAGTCAGTCTTTCTTTAAATGACATCGTTTTCCGTTTCAAATCGACACCTAGCGACGTACCAAACAACTTTTCACCATCCATTAGTTTTTTCTGGCGGATTTGACGATCCACGCTTGTGCCCCACTCAGAACAGATTTTTTTTGCTTTTACCCACTGCACTATCTACCATCTCTCTAATGAAAAAGACAAACTCTCAACGCTGTGAGCCTGACAAAGCTTTGCTGCAGATCTAGTCATTTTGTCTGAAGATATGTCTTTGCTTCATTGATCCCCATGACCTCAGAAACAAAATAAACGGTAAGTTTGGGGAAAGTGCCTATACTGTAGCAGGTAAAGGGATCACATGGATGAGCAACGAATTCAGAGAGGTTTATAAACCATCGGTTGGTATATTCGTTCAACAACGTTTCCTTTTTGACACAAGTGCTTCTTCTGGCCAGTGGAATCAATATGCAATTGGAGCGGGCGGGATCATTGAGCAGGATGATCGTCTCATAGGATAGGTTATCTGGGATTCTGCAATAATAATGATTAAGAACAAGAATAAAACGGGTTTGGTGTAAGGGACAAAATTGCTCCCGAATTTCGAGCAACATTTAGAACTCCTGGGTCAAAGCAAATTAAGGTCGAAAGGGAAATGTGGTACTATATAAATGGATATCACATTCAGTAAAGATAAATCTCACTAAGTCTTGCTTTGCAGCGCAATAACCGAGTCTTCACAAAGCACACAATGAGAGCACAAATCGCCGTACTTGGACTGTGCAGGAGGATCACGCAGGCTCTTGCATTAGGCCATGGAATTCTTTGCGTATAGCCGCTGTACAATGCCTTATGGACGACAATGCACTGCATTCTCGGGTAAATTCTATGGGGGGGGGCGATGTGTAACGGGACAGATGGGTGAAAAGGCGAGACGAAACGGTCTAGAGGTAGGTGTGACAGATGACATCAATGTGCTTTTGGTTCTCCAAAGCAATATTGCCATATTCAAATATCGGTTTGTCTGGAAATTTACACTTGGTATCGAATAATCATGTTACTAAAAATGCCGCCCTGGTGGACTTCCTTTTGCTACACCTCTCTTCTCCCGGTTCATCCAGTTCATGTTGCATTTTTACTATTGTGTTTGTCTGGATTATTTCTCGACATAGATGTAGTCTTATTCCGTCAATATTTATGAAATCTCTCCGGAATACTGCTCTATATCGGCGTATCGTTCAGTATGCTCACGAGGTTAGAAATCTCTTCAAACGAGCCATGAGGATACATTCTGGTAAATTGATAAGTATTCATACTTGCTCGCAAGTCTGTCTTAGACGTCGTTCAGTCGACAAGACATAAATGCCACTGATCCTATCCGGCAACGTGCGATCACTCCTTGTAAAATTAGTGGATCTTGCAACTGTTGTGCAGCGAAATGGGTATACAACTACAGGCATTTTGATGCCTCAATATAGGTGGTTACGTTCTGGAATGGAAGACAATGTTATTCAACTTGCTGATTATTTTCCTATCATATCAGACGGCTCAGGATTACCTCAAAATTTTGGAGGGTGTCATCACCTGAGTCTATCAACACTCTCTCTACTCTACAGCCTCTTATTCACTCATTCCACAGTCACCATCAGTTGCCATTTGATTGAATGTAATTCTAGTTTTTTGAGTGGTTTCAGTTCTGTTGCCACTGGAAATGTCTACATGGCCCCCAACACAATAGCATCAGATTTTAAGAATTTTGCTGATGATCTATCCTCGGCGTTACTTGACCGCCCAGTCTGTGCCATCCTCGGGGGTTTCAATAAACGTGATACCGGGTGCATCTAGGCACTTGATTTGACTGACATATTGGTCTTTCTAACCAGCCTGGAAGCGTAACCAGCTTTCGTCTTCACAAACCATGCTTGCTTGTTTTCTGCAAAGATGTGCCCCACTCAATAACTCCAATCATTGTAACATACAAGTGTGTCCCGTCTTTTATGATAAAACTCACCCCGGTTCATTGACTAATCAGCCATTCAAAACTGTGAAGCGACGAGATTGTTCAGCATTCAATATTGCGAGACTCCAGGGAATGCTGACTACTGATTTTACGGTATTCAAAAGTGAAGATCTGCTTCTTCATTGCGATCATCTTACTGACTGTTACTTAGGTCTGAGCCGCCCGGTCGAAATCATCCACTTACGAGTCGATAGATTCTTCTCATCATTACTCAAACAACTTAGAATGAAAGAAGAAGGGGTCCACAGATGTAAAACGACTACCCGCATGAAATAACTCTTTAACAATAAAACTGAGATTTTACGATTGATTAATTTACATGCTGAAGCTGCTTTGTACAGCCACCGTTGCTGAGACCTGCGAAAACTTTTAGTGCAACTATACGGTTGAAGCTTCAGTAAGCCCGCTTGGCTATGTGAATTTGGGCAAATTCCATTATGAGTTCTGTTTTTCCCCGCAGGAAACATTCCCCACACCTTACTTTTCTTGTTCCAACCCAACAATTACATTCCAAGGCTTTGGAGCCCGCATGGAACTCATGAAGTTTAACTCAAGGAAATCTAATGGGCCCGATACTCTCTCCCCAGTCGTCTTGCAGGAGTGTGCCGATACCTTGTGATACCTCTGATAGATCTTTTCAATCCTTGTATACATGGTGTCGCTATTCCCAACATTGGGAGGCTTGCCAGGATAACGCCCGTTACACTGAAACAGCAAAAGGACATCAGCAGTACGCTGGTTTATCGTACTCACGCTTCGCTGCCATGCAACCACCACCAGTCGCTCGTGGGCTGACAGTACTGCGATGATCGTCCAGTCCCTTATGCAGGCTCGAACCCGTAACCTCCGGGTTGCAAGGCGGACGCCTTATCTTTTCGCCTAGCTGCCCGTTCCAAAGAGGGAATCTTTGAAGTTCCGTCTGATCGCCTGAACATCCCTCATGCTGCAAGTTTCATACCGGCTACTTGTGCCTTGAACCTCAACAATCACTGACTGAGAGCGTATCTGTTTGCCTACAAGCCCCGACATTCCACTATGGTTGCCGTGGCATACCTTGTCAAATCAACAGCATCTGCATTAAATGCAAGATGCAGAAATGTGGATGACTGTACTCCTATGAGTAAGCTTCCGCTTTCCATCTGTGTGGCTGCGCACCAGCTTAGAGCACTAATTCTTGACTTTTAACTTGTAGCTGCTCGTGCAGACGGCCGGTCATTGGCGTGGTTCTCTTCGCTGATCGAACCTGTTACGACGAAACTGACCCAACGTGGTCAGTCGACTGAGTTACCTTTAAAGCCACTCATACCCGACGGGTCAATGGCTGAGCTTCTGGTAAGCTCCGTCTTAGCGTTCTCTTTATTAGTAGTAAGAGAAGAACTATTGATCCGTTCGTTTGAAATTTGGATTTAGGTCACAACAGTGTATGAGTCATAGATGCTGCTGAAACGATTTAAGCCGGAGCATCACCAGTAGTGTTGCCACAGGAAGAGTACAATTATGTACTTGCCAGCTTGTACCGTTTTCTTCGCTGTTTTTCTCACGACGCTGTTCGATATGCCTGGTCAAGGAAACATTTCACGTGCTATGCATCGTTGTTTAAGCGACCGCACAGCGTGATAGGCAATGGGTCATATTGACGTGTGACCTCATGGCCACATACTCTCTATATTTTTGTAAGGAGGCCACTAAGTTCTGCCTTCGTGACCAACACAACTCGGTTTCACCGACCATACTTTTGTGTGCGCATGTGAATGCTTTCAATGGGAAATGTGAGTGCATTCGCTCTTTTCATTTACACCCGCATTACCATTCCCTTTCGGGATTATTCTGCAAACTGTTAGTTCACTCATAGCAGTCTCTGCAGAGTCAGACTGTCTTTTATCACGCTAACCTCACGTGACCTGTGCCATTATGCAGCATTTTCTTCCCTGTCAATCAGCTGACACGTCATACACATTCGGTTTTTGTGTCCTTTTCAAGTTTACGCAACCGTTTGGTTTCACACCGTTACTTTAACCTATTTTATCAATATTGTGACCGAAATTAGCTGACAGATTTATTTTCACCTCTTCTTAGCCTCCTATATTGTGGTGGGGACAAGTGTACGGTTATTTTCGACCCTCGTTGGAGAAAAATGGCTTCTTCCTCATTCTTCATCCGGAGTCGGTGCTAACCTCTTTTGTCTGCAGCACCGTAGATGACTTGACTCGTTGGGAGAAGATCATGAACGATGGTTTCTCACAATGGCGTGAGTCCACTCCAATCAGTATGGAAACTTTGGGTGGGTACATCGACTTTTTTCCAATTTCAATAACTCGCCGTCTTTCATTTTACTGCAAGCATCTACTATTGCAACACCGAAGAGTATTTCACAAATTTGACAACGCCTACAACTTTACTTGGTCTCTGCATGCAGTGAGCGTTGGACATGGAGCAAGTCACTTCGACCACTCTTCTGAGACAAGGATTATTATTCTAACGATTTGCATCGGACATTGACTTCTGCGTACTCATCACTCTCGGCATCTGGACAGTCTCAAGCTTAGCCTGAAAGCTGATTTTCAGTGATAGTCGTCTAGTCACTACTTAGTTTTATAAGCGGGCATTTCTGCAAGATACGAGCATCTCCATTCTTCTTCGCTTCTAACTCTTTCTCCCCTGTGATTTGCGGCCAGTCGCGCTCCTCTGTGACTGCACGTCCGACCTTTCTTCATTTCTCTCTGTGAGGCGTCACTGCCCCGCACAACTACCATACTGTGTAACTGCTATCAAGCCACATTTTGTTCGATGATAGTTGGGAGTCGTTTCGCACCTGCAGCTTATCTACCAATAGCCCATGGTCTTGTTGCCCGTGTAACGCCTGTTGCTTGCAATCGTGTCGCCTTGTGGACTGTATTATGACGCCCCGCTTTTATGTATTCCCCATTGTAGGCATATCATCTGTCCAACATTAGCTCAGTACTTTAACTGTCTCTATCACTATGATTCACTACAGGTGCATCGGTCCGGAAATGCACTACTACTTGGTTCAGGACGATTACGAATCAGATAACATCGCCTGTTCCTGCATCCTGTTAGCACCAATTAATTCCATAAGAAATCTGCTCCTTACTTCGACTCCCCACTGCATATGCACGTGGCACACCTCTGTCCGTTGAATACTGCGTTTTTTGTACAGTTCGACTACATAAGGTCACCTGCGAACATTTACCTCTGCTCTTATATATGCCTTGATTGTTCCTCTCCTCATGAAACTGACCCTGTGATTCTTATTCTGACACTACAGCTCTTGCATGTTCTCCATTTTTCCTATGCATATTCAGGTCTGGAGATGGAGCAGGTACGTTCCGCGATCGAACAGCGGTGGATGCGCACGGAAGCCGTCTTGGATTTGCTGCACGAATTGGACGTAAGCCTCGAACACGCCTGGGCTGCCCGAACCTTCGTTTGTTTAACGCTGATTGAGGAGCGACTAAAATCCGCCAAGTCCAAGCTGAGCACATCCGATTCCGACTGTACCCCCATCCACGCGCCTACCGGTGGAAGTGTACACTTCACATTGTCAGATACGCAGAATCAGAGCATTGCTGAGATTGCCCCACCTTCCTCGAAAGTCACGAACACTGCCTCAACACCAGAGGTTTTGGATAACCAGACTTTTATTTGCAGACGTAATGACGTTTCTAACTTAACTCGAACGCTCTCCATGTTCCAACAAATACGTGAGTATTTAGGGGCCGTTCTCTACGTTTTCAGTTCGTAAAATTCTCCAGGAAATTACCTTATGATCACGGAGTTGTTCAACACACGTTTTCATCCTTCATTTATTAAAGACTATATTGGCACCCTATTTTTACCTTTTGCACGTGTCCACTGTCCTGTGGTTGCTGGATGAATTGCGTTAAGGGGCTGTTTTCGAACGCTGTTTCCTCTCGCTGTCGGATGGATACGTACATGAGCACTTTTCGTGCTAGCTCGGTATTCTCCTGGCTTTCATTCGTTTAGCGATGCCCAACGCATCTTTATTAAGTAGACTTGCCATGATTATCCGTACATCCGATTTGCTAGAACATTATATGCTTTTGTTTTTTGTGTCAGTTTCTTTCTCGTTGGCCGTATTTGAGGTTAGCACCAGGTATGCTGCCCGACCGAATACCTATATGACACAATCACAGATGATAAATGAATCTGGTGTGGTTGTTTCCCTCACACTCTGATCCCTTCGTAAGCCATTCGCACTAACTTAATTTGCCTCGTTTGTCTATCTGCCTGTTCCAGTGGTACGGCTGCAGTTCTCTTTGGCTGGGAGTGTTTCTAGTGGACTTTATCGGAGCGCATCGGATGTGGAACAGCGCAAACGACCTTCTTCAAAGCCGATCAGGAAAAATGAAACATTCAGCGTTCGTGACGACACCTCCCGTAAGTGTATATTACCATCGACTACAGCCTCAGGGCCTGTCATTTCTCTGTCCGCATACTTTTCGATACCCCGGTTTTGTATAACAGAACGTTACTTACCCTGTCCTCCAAGTTTTCAGTACCTCGGTTTGTTATCTCAGTCTGTTGTTGGTGTTATTCCTTTAGATTTGTTTTCTCGCGCTTTCAACGTCCGTGTTTCCACATGTTTCTTGCCCCATGATGCAAGGTGCTGCTGTGCTTCAATAACACTGTTTAGTTCAGCTGTAAAGGCTCCACACATTATGGTGGCACCATAACAATCCATTTGGGCGTTGTCTGTGCTGGTTAGCGTGACATCGCTGATTGAGCCCTGTCAGACGGCAAATTGCGTTTCTAGAAAACGGTCTAAACTCAACCGGGGTGCATAGCATCCTTGCAATTTATTTGAAGACTTTTTTTTGAAATATCCTTATGTTGAAGCCAAGCATGTTGTTCCGTGTGAGTTATCGGATGAAATATCGATGACATAAGCAGAGTGAACGAACGATGATATCGCGAATGTCCCTGTACAGAAACTGCTGCAGATTTTACAGGTACCTCTGTATACCCAGTGGCCACGAATAATTGAGTCGAATGAAAAGCGAACGCACTGTGTCCACACACTGGAAATGAGCAATTCGGAGGACATTTAGCGATACATTTCGGGTGTTTTTTTGCACGCAACCTTATATGCTCCGTTGATTGCACAGCGTGCAATGCCGAAACGTCCTTCCGCTCGCAAACTTTTGCTCCCGACGGAAATGTGTTCTCTAAAAGCTGTCTGCACTGTTTTTGTCCTTGGTATTAGGTGCAGCTTTGCATGTCGCCAACAATGCGCACCCTTCATTGACACCGGCTGTTTTCTCGCGCACGACCTTTTCACATGATTCTCCCCACAACCCACGCAAATCAAACGAGTTCGCATTATCCATAATGCCACTAAGCTGTTTGCTTAATCCAATCCTTAGAACAGTGTTTCTCAAAGTGCGATCTGCGGACCCCTTAACGGTCTGCGGGGTCCGCGGGATTTCCCCAAATATTATAATTCTGTTCGAATGTTTTGGACATAATTATTTTATTTTACAGTTCGTTGACAAACCTACATTGAAATTTTGTTAAATAATATCTGACAGTCTACATTTGTCTAATGAATGACTAATGTAAAGCAAACTCCTTCCAAGAAGGAACCTGGATTTGCTAGGAGCTTCAAACGTCAGTGAACAGAGCTGTCAAATGTTAGAAAGGTAGTGTGGTGATCTGTGATGCGATTGGTAGGGACTGGGTAGTGCATTCTTTGTCCACGTAGACTTGTACAAGTCGAAATTTGCCTTAGATGAGGCGAAAACTAAGTCATAGAGCCCTTTTTTACGATGATTTCGAAAGTCGTTAGCCTCAAAAGTGGCTAATCGCAAAGAGAAGGCCATTAGTGCGATCCTACTTAGGGAGGTCTAGAAAGAAAGCGTGGAAAATTCAGTGTTTGAGGAGTGTACTACGTTACAAAAGATGACTGCTCTGTTCACTTTATTTTGTGTTCACTTCAATTTAATACAGTAATCCAATTTGAGGTATGTTTTGCGCCTCTTGTATTTAATTATTTATTTTCACTTTAGCATTTTAAACGTATAACATAAAGATAAGCCATTAGCTGAGGACAAAAACCTCAATAAATATGTCACGGAAATATTCACCGTCTAATCTGATGCACTTGTTGTTTGCTGTTGTGGTTGATGATGATGATGATGTTTTTGTGTTCCCTGTTACTAAACTCACTGGTTCGCACACTAGTTGATTCCTACACCTCTGTTCTGCATTGAAAAGAATAAATTTATGAAAATAGGAATACAAGATAGCTAATTGTGGTGATGTATGGAATAGGAAAGTGAACGGAAACACAAGTATCTGTTGTTGTAAATAGCCATATTTTATTGCAACGCATGATGATGGGTCGCATCAATCAGAGCTACTGTGCAACGTTAAGTGTTGCTTAGACTGTCCACGAAACCTGGTCGCAATTAAGAGCTACGGTGAAGACAATGTAGAGACAGCGTTCAAAGATGCAAAATGTGTCAGTTCCCTCTTTCAGCTCGTGCTTAGAGGCTTGAACTTGCGTAAGATGGTGTGGCCGCGTACAATGGAACAATGATTTATAACGGGTAAAATAGCACAGGCTTAACATATCCCGTAGGTTGGTAATAGAAGGAATTGTGCTTGAAATATTACACAACAACCAAATAAAATACGCATGGGCAAAGCGATAGAGTGATTGTTTTAGATGGGATAATTACACAAGTGAAATAGTACAGGTAAAACCAAAAAGTTATGATGATTAATACCCATAAAAATAGGAAGCAGACTGCTCACCCCTCTGCACAAATTTACGTGCGTCACTGTGGGTCCTTATTCCAAAGTGGATAGTTAACCAGACTAAATCCAGAATATCCGTTCAAGTGACAAAGTATCGAGTGTTCACTTTGATATCCAATCGTTTTTCGCAAACAGCTAATTTGGGGGCACAGAAAACTGAGTTTGGAAGGGCCTTCCACGGTTGGCAGCCCCGGAGGTGGAAGTAATTTCGCCGTCAATCTAGACGGCTGTGTTGCCTCAGTTTCAGGCTATTGTCTCTGAGGTTGGTGTTCAGGCTGAGTTTCAGAAGGTGGTGGCATACGTGCTTGGGGTCGCACAGTATCTCGTAGTATCTCGTATCTCTACGTAGCCGCCTGTAACTTCCACCGAACACTCCGAGTGGCATGTGGCCTAACGGTGAGGATATGTGTTCCAAAGCAGACTAGGTTGGCTTTCCTATCTTAGGATTGGTGGAAACCTTGAGATTGGCATGTACACATAAGAGGAAACGGAAAATAAACACAGAGTATGCACAGGTTGGCTGGTTAGCTTGTCCTCTTCAGCACATACTTGTTGCAAACGAGTTGCTGAGTTTTACATGAGACCTGGACCCTGCTGGTATGCTTAGCATACACGGAGTAACCCAAAAGCCTTGCCTTGCTTTGTGCGGTTAAGAAATTGTTGGTCCTCATTCCAAATTCATGCTCCGAACTATGGGCACATATTCTGGCTGGTGATTTGTTCCATATTTCGGCATACCTGGTGAAGAAGAATTTCACAGATTTGTTGATCTTCACTCTGCATTCCAGCACTGAGTCCATTTTTGGGTCTTGTCTACTTCCGAATCTATTATTGGCATATTAAGGCCGAATATATACCTTCTTTTGTAAGAGATGTCAAGGGATATCGTTCGTTGTGCCTCAGACGCCTTAGTTAGAACGGACCAAGTCGAGGTTTTCTACATCGTTCCAAAATATTCCAGTTTTTATGCGGTGCCTAGAAGGATGCCGACGAATGCTGTCTGCACTTGCTCTTTTACAGTGCGGTTTCGTTTGTTTGTACTGCTATGCACCATTTAGCACTTATCTGTTGCTAGTAGGCGGGCGAGAAAGTAATTCATGAGTCTTAAGTATAGATGCATCTGTGTCTCACTCTGATTGTCTGTCTGTCCGTCGGCTGGTGGTGCAGATTACAAGACGTCGGCGGTTCGAGTCTGCGTAGAGAACCGTACGGCCATCGCAGTGTCCTTAACCCACTAGCGACTGCCGGTGGTTGTGTAGCGGCAAGGCGTCGGTATGGCCTGCCAGCTGCCTGCTTATGTCATCCGTTCAGATAAGTTATGTTCACATGAATATCGCAGTCCCAGATACCATAAGGGGCGGCATCGACCACTTGGTTTACGGTGAACAGTCAGAGCACTAGATGTTACATCCGACTTATGTGGCGTTTCGCAACCTTCCTTTATCCTGAGTGACATCTTCCGTCTTGAACACAAGGTTCGAGTGCATGCATATCGAACTAGATCGCGTTAGCAGTTTCATTTATTGTCTCTGGGTTGCAAGTATAGATAACTTTGATGTCTTTGGCAAAACGTATGGTGTACCGTTTTACCGCTTCAAATATCTCGTCAAACCATATTAAGCATATTAACAGATCAGTGACAGTGTTTTGTACTACACCGCTAGTGACAGTCGTTGGTGCAGATTTGTGTTTTTGTATGTGTGCCAATACTATGCATCTTTTCTCAAACAATTTCCGGATGCTCTGGCCACTGCAGAGCATAATCAATGGTGCCCTGTCCATTGTATCGAGCAAGGTGGATAGGGATTTGTGTGCTACTGCTCAAGCCTTCCCGTCCCGTTCCAATTTCACTATTATCCTCCCGTTTTCAACCCCCCAATTCTCGGCCCTCCCCCACCATGCTTTGGTAGGCGTTTATCTTCTAGCTTCAACTCCCATGTAAATCCGGAGCGTCACTCTTCCCCTATCGACAAGCCCTTGTCTAATCAAGCGGTCAAACTCAGTTCATCGGCTTCTATTTTGAGCTCTCAATCCTCCCTCAGATTGGCATACCTCAACGTACGCACATTGTCAACAGGCAGCACTTGCCCGAACATAAGAGACCCTCTTTTGTGAAATCTTGCCTCTCAGATCAGTGGACATCAAGAGGCTAGTTACGTTCGACCACCGGTGCCTTCGTAGTTTGGCTCACGTGCTAGGAACACAGTGTGAGCAATGAGCGTGTTCGACCCCTTGTTTATGGCGCAGGAAGAATAAGCGAACCGCTCATCACCGTTATTTCACGCACCAGGCTCCGATGACTGGGGCACGTGCTGAAAATGTCAGTCCAATGACTTTCGCGACGTGCGTTGTTTGCGTGCCGGGGGTGTAGATGGAAGAAGAGAGGAGGTGGCCAAGTGATGACTTGGTCAAGACGAATGATGGACCTTACTTCGAAGTTGGCCTCGGTTGGAGCTTCTCGGTTCCCTGGTTATGGACCGAAGGACGATGAACATGTTTGGATGGATGCACTTGTTGACATTGCTAGACGTAGACCTCAATGGCGTTTGTGTTACGAGCTCCTTTGTCCATGCCCGTCCGCTTAGCCTCCCTCTCCAACCACGATCTCAATTAATGGG